AGGGACGGATACAAAGTTGAGAAGAGACGGATACAGATTTGAGAAGGGAAGGATACAGATTTGAGGAGGGACGGATACAGAGTTGAAGAGGGAAGGATACAGAGTTGAGAAGGGAATGATAAAGATTCGAGGAGGGACGGATACAGAGTTAAGAAGGGACGGATACAGAGTTGAGAAGGGACGGATACAGAGTTAAGGAGGGACAAAAACAGACTTGAGGAGGGACGGATACAGAGTTGAGAAGGGACAGAAACAGATTTGAGGAGGGACGGAAACAGAGTTTAGAAAGACAGATATATTGATTGATTGATTGATGAATACCTAATATACATAAGTAGGGTAGTTAGGATATATGTACTCAATGTAGGTAGAAAAAGATAGATAGCATGCATGTAGGTAAATACTTACATTGATTGATTGCTTTATAGATAGATAGTTAGATAGATAGATAGATAGATAGAAGTATAAATATATATATGTAGTCTACTTCAAATAACATCAGCATTCTATGCATACTCAGCATATTGCTGTTTAAGGGGAGGGGGAGGTAAAGGAAGTGCTGATTAAATTCTATTTAAAAACATAGTCAATTCTTTAAAAAAAACAGGTTTAATAGCTACACTGTTTGGAATCCCAAAAAAATGAAGGAGATTTTAAAAATGTTAAAGATTTTTAAAATCTAATTTTGTTTGTAAAAACTTGTTGTCATGAAAAGAAAAACTCTTAGATTATGATATGTTCATAAAAGAAATATTTGTTCCGAAAAATTAGATCCATGAAAGAAAAAAAACCATCATTTGAAGAAAATTTTAAGGAAATTATCAAAACAGTATTTAAAAGAAATTGTAAAAATTTAAGGGGAAAAATTTGAAATTAAAATAAATATTCTGATAAAAAACTTTATTAATAAACACATGTTGAGATTAAAACTCATAGTTCTATCAAAGTTTTAATATCATTGAATCCTTTCATCCCCAAACCTAAAGTAAATATTGACAGAACACAACCACTTTTGTAAATATTTAATATTAAACATTATTACTCTGCCTCTACATAGAATCCAAGGAATGCAATGCTAGACAAAATAATAAAACTTGTCAGAAGATACATGGAACAGCTTTATATGATTTATTTTATAAAGACGTCGCATATCATTAGGATTAAAGGGAGTGATAGGAAAAAGGAAATGGTGAAGTGGAGAATTCCGAAATTAAAATTTAAGATTAAAATTAAAAAAAAGATGTCAAAAAACGTCTAAAAAAAGTTCAATTTAATTTAATTGGTTTTATTTTACTAATATCAATATCTATATAATAAAACAAGACATATATATGTTGCCTACAGCCGGCCAAACGGCATGGGACCGATTGGGTTGAATTNAAAAAAAAAAATTCCACGAGCAACGCCGGGCCCTTCAGCTAGTAATTATATAATGCAAAAAGTTTCTTTCCTACCGTAGTAATTTTTTGCGAAGATTATTTAAAAAAAGATTTAATATTGTGTTTAATATTGAAAACGAGAGTATTTTGTTTTGATCCAGTTAATACTAATTTACAGAATTCATTTCACCAGTTTTTAATGTCAATACCTAAAGGAACTGTAGACGTGATGTCAAGTGATCCTCCAGTTAAAAAATGACATAAACAATTCACATTCTTGAATCTTTATCTGAGCAAAGACATTAAACAATTTTGCTTAGATTTTAATTAATTAAATAAAATCATGAAAATGTCTCATTCTGAACGAAATCATTAATATCTCCGGTAATTATGAAAGCAAAACGATAGCAGACTACATTTTGGAAATGGGATAAAAGCTATTCTGTAAATATTGTTTCATAAAAAAATATTGCAAAAATCTGGTTACCGATGTTAAATGCTGCAAACTTTTTCTAAGGTCAGAGATGTTATCAATCAATTTACATTATTCCGGGTTATTTAGATTAGGATTGTAGCTGAGACAAATATTTGAAATTACTTGATATTACATCAATAATTAATAGCCCTGATGTTGGGCGAGGTTTTTATCAATTATTTCTTTCAAGAACATCATAGAGAAAAATGAAAAATATTGTAAATAGTAAATTGCATCTTTTAACCCCCTTTGCTTTTTCAAGAACATTCCCTTGAATATTTGAGTTTGTTATCATGACACAATTTCACAGTTTCACGCATAATAGAGAACAAACAGAATTGATGAGTTTTTAAAGAACTAGTTTCAGACTAAAATATGTATACTTTAGAAATTGAGCATTTTTTAAACATTATGTTGAGAAACAAGTTCATTTTGGGAATGTCTACATTTATTTTTCAAGGCGTCTCTTCAGACAGATGAAAGGTCAAGAAATAGATTATTTTAAACA